ATCAAAAAGTATAACAAAATTTACTTTCCCGTTAAATATTTCAAGCAGACGCTTCAACGATTCGCATTCACTTTTCAGAAGGACGTAAATTTAAATGTTGCTTTTGGAATGAATAATCTAGTTGTGAGCATTATTGAAACAATCGCGTCCGCGGCGACTATTCTCCTTTTTTATTCTTTTTTGGTCTTTCGAGTGTCTAGATTAGATGACATAAAAGTACCAATTTTCCTTTAACCTTCGATGAATCTGACAACGCACATACCTTCGTGGCATGTTTAAAATTTCAGAATACGTCCGAGATGTTCCTTGAATCTAAAGGCTTCTTTAAAAGGACAAAAGAGAAGAAAAGAGAGAAAAGCAAGGCTATATCTTGAAATAACGTCAAGATTTTACGACACACTCTCCTTCGCCTGAAATATCGATGTTTCCTATTTTCTCGTATCCCTCGTAAATCGATCGTCGATACGTTCATGCGCTAAAAAAAGCTAAAAGAAAAAATAGATAAGGGGGAGAGAGAGAGAGAGAGAGAGAGAGAAGATATATCGCAGAAGTGACTATCTCTAATCAAACAAATCGAATCTCCAATTCTGAAAGCGATTTTCTTCCGGAATATCAACATCAAATGATATCCTTTTAACTGTTAAATATTATCTGGTAATATCATCGAATTACCTGCAATAAGAGAATTTCTATCACTAGCGCCACTGTCATCGTCATAATCATCATCGTCGTCATCGCCATTGGCTATAGCGGGCGGTAACGCGCAAACCTTTTCGTGCTCTCTATCACGTGCTGCGAGATTTACACGTTTAAACGAGCGATTAAGCTTAATTAGAGAATATCGAACGATTATACACCGGTAATGCGTTTTGATAGGCTTCTACGGTGATAGCAAATTTCTCTTGAATATTTGAAACCTTGTATGTACCGGGCCACTCTTCCTCTCTCCCACTCGTTCCCAATCATTCGGTGCATTTGATATGCCATGTGTGATACGAATTTCTATATGTACATGTATACGAGTATATAATAACAAACACACGCACACACGAGTGATCTCGTGGACGCGTGTAAATCGAGAGAAACCCAAACGCACCGTTGAATATTTCGAGTTTGGTCACGATTGCAAAATTCGACGGTTCGACGGTTCGACGGTTCGACGGTTCGACGGTTCGACGGTTCGACGGTTCGGAATTGTTCTCGTACGACTGTAATATTTCGAAAGAAGTAAACGATCGGTACTCGATTAGTAACCTTTCGACCAGATAGAGTCGATTCGTAAAAACGTTCCGTTCGATTCGTAAGATCGAAATTCTATGAGATGAGTATTTTCAGAATCACGAACGGACGATCCGATCGATTCGGAAAGGATCAAAGGTAGTATCGCGCATGTTTGCACGACCGTCTGTTCTAGATAGCCTCATAATCGCGTATTTGCCGAGAGGACCGAGAAACGTGTAACTCCGAACACCTCCTGATTGGCAAACATGCATATTTTAACGTTGTCCCATGCTCGCACGAGCCAGATAACACGCGTTGTTCGTATCAATTATTCCTCGAAATTCAACGCGTCCCTTCAGCCCCCTAACGCCTAATAGGAATGAGGTTTTAATTGAAATGTAATCCCAATTAAAACGAATCCGCAATCCACGACGCACAAACGCGTATAATCGCATTAGAGAAATGGAATATCCAGTCGAGTTCACTCATTGTAAATCCGTTGTAGGTGATGAGATGGTTGTGCCGGTGAAGACTGGTGGTGGTGGTGGTGGTGCCAATAGTGGACAAAGGGGGCTGTTGTCGCTCGACAGCCTGAGCTCCGTTTACCGCCTTCGTGTTCGCGACATCTTATCAAGATTAGAGATCGGAGGTTGATAAGCTCGAATCTTTCGTCTCAAAAAGACGATTCTCTTTTTGACTTGCGACTACGGTAAAAAAACTTTCCTTCCGAAAACTCACAAAGTTTGAATTTGAAAACATTTAGTCGGTCTATGAGAGCGAGCAAAAATTTTTCTTTCCTTTTTTCTTTTTCTTTTTAGGAATGGGTGGCGGGGGCGAATAAGAAGTACAAATTTTCGAGTTTCGTAAAAAAATAGTTTAATCGTTTTGTTCGTTCGAATGAAGAAAAAAACCGAACGAAAGAAAAAATGATATATTTCCTCGAGAGAATAAAATCGAAACGTGATTCTCTGTGTCAATATATTTATTTACTTTTCTTCCCTCGTCTCTCATAATTCTATGCACTTGGAATTTATACAGTCTTGTAACATGGCACCACTCTCACCGACGACTATGTAAGTACCACATATATATCTCGATCGTTTTTCTTCGATCGAAGAGCGACGACGCATAGTAAAATCTGTGATCCGTCTGGCTAGTAACGATTCTCCAAACTAAAATCTCGTAGGTCTCTTCGGAGAGTGTTATTATCGAATTTCTATGAAGCGTTCCGTTTAACTTTTACAACCTCAAACCGTTCAATCGTTCTATCTTTTCTTTCCCTCTCCTTTGTATTTCTCTCTTTAATACTCTATCGCTTCTCGCGCTCTAATTGTGTCTCGTACAAAAACGCTACTTACTTTACAATTTTTATTTGATAACTTTACGAAACGATCCAAATTTATATTGTCAACCATTAATATTTCAAGAGGAACAGGAAAGAGAAGGAGAGAGAGAGAGAGAGAGAGAGAGAGAGAGAGAGAGAGGATCGGAAAAGAGGACGATGTATAATATTTTCTTCGCGACAAAGTCAACCCTTCAACGATCGAATATATATTAAATCCTCTCGTCGACTCAGAGAAAGCAGAAAAATTAGTAACATTGCCGATACTAATATCTCGTTACATATGACAAGTTTTACGTACTAATTAGTCACTTATTATCTAGTTAAACTTCCTATTCCGTAGTGCTAATACCTCCTTATGTGTATAATTTTACTTTCTCTTCCTCACAGGCTTCGGAACATTGTTTCCAGTTCATTAAATCCAACCACAATTAGCACGGACAAAGGTTTAAAGCTAATACGTAATACTAGATTTTCAAAACATATGTAGTAGGTCTTATTTTCTTTCTTTAATCTCACGCTTTTAATACGTGTACATACAACCAAGATGCACCGATATACTACATACATACAAATCTGGCCTAATACTTTTTAGTGGCAAACTTGCAAAGGTACTTTGTTTTCAGCGAATCGCGTGTCATATGGAACGTCTAATATTATCAAAGGGACATTAATTAATTCATTTATTATATTATTCTCTTCTCTCTTCTATGTATTTATTTGTAAGCACGCAACATACGGACAACAGCCGTCGCGAACCGGATCGTTTATCTCTACCTCGAACGCATAAATATACTATAATATCTATATACTTCGGCACGAGGAAATTTCGAGCACAAGTTTGTCGAGAGACGGCTCGGCAACTAATTTTTATCACTTTAATCCGGCTACCGAATGCATATATTTATTCTAATTAGCTCGGTAAAATCTCGCTAAAACGTAATAAATTTTTTTCTTTATCGTGCAAGCGTACACCGACGTGCTATTAATTCTTTAATTACGTCTTCAACAAGTGAGATAACTAACAAGAACAGATGGGCATTGTACAATGACAATTAATAATAGATAATAGTAGAAGTAAAGTTCCCGTTCGAACTTTAAAGCATTTCCTAATAGTCGCCCCGTTTCCTTACGATCGTTCATTCGAAACATTGTGCTTTCTTTATGGCGTCGCTCTTTTTCAAGGATTATATTGTAAATAACATAATCGAGATTTCGAGATTGGTAGAAAAATCGCTTTCGAAAAATTCGTGCAAAAGTATAAAAGAAAGGTGTAAAGAATTCGAAAGAAAATATTGTTCCGCGTTGTAGACGTAAAATTGTAGGATACTTTTTCTCTCTTTTTATTTATTTATTTTCTTTTTTCTTTTTTCTCAAGCGATAAAGATTCTAGATAATAATGTACGACGTTTGTTTTCTCTCTTCTTCTTTTTTTTCTTTTTTTTTCTTTCGATTAAAAAGCGATTAACATGTTCGGCGATACTTATGCGGAATTTCCTACGTTCGGTAAATACGTCATCTCTCTATTCTCTATCACAGATGAATGGAACAATTATCTTTTATTACGGCGATCAATGAGAATTTACTTAATATTGAGACATATTAAAAAAAGAAAAACAGGAAAAAAAAGAAAACAAGAAAGAAACAAAAAAGTATCGTATCGCAAAAATGTTCGATAACGTTAATTTAATCGAGGCTTTTCGCATAATTAAATCGCAACATCTTCCTGGAAGATGGAGGTAATGTAATGATTTCTATAAAGTCGATAAACTGCATTAGGAAAAAGAGCTAGGCGTGTATCCTGCGCTAAGCTTGCGTATCTTTTTCTCTTATTCTTTTAATATGAAGATCCTCTTTATTAGAAACATCTAAAAATACTACCTTTATTTTATATAAAACGATTTCGTGGAGGCTTTAATATTGTGTTTGTGTGTGTGTCTGTGATTCTTCGTCTAAATATACACAATCCTTTCGTACGTATGTACAATCTTCCTTCTACTGTCTATTATGTTAATCGGTTATGAGACGCGTAGCTTTTGCAAATGTAAATATGCTGCTCGCGGTTTACTCACGTTCAACGTTAATTATTGTATCTGCGCGGCTGTACATTTAACGAATCAAGCACGCAAAATAATATCGTAAAACGTCATCTCTTGAAACGTCGTCTTATCTTCAAACTGTTTCTAACTGCGCGAGGAATTCTCGATCGCCTCGAGATCTTCACTTGCTTATGATTCTTATCACAAAATGTTCAGGCTTGGCTCGTGATAACGAGTATCAGTGTAAGAAAGCGAAAGAGGAATGAAGCTCGGTGCTTCTCTAAAATCTTTGCTACGTCTCAACGATACGGTACGTGAAATGTTATATATAATATAATTTCATATAATATAATTTAATATATATATATATATATATATATATATACATATGTATGTATATGTATATGTATATGTATATGTATACGTATATGTATACGTATATGTATATGTATATGTATATGTGTATGAGTACACACATATACATATATGCGCATAATCAGCAAAATTGGAGGGAGCCAAAGGCATTTATTGGAAAATTTCAGTGTTTCATAGCGCTTGTCGTTCTTAACTCCTTCTCTTGAAAAACATTCGCAAGTGGTAGAGGTCGAAACGAATTCATTAATGAAACATCGGGCTAAACGTCGTAATGCGAATGATAGTAACTTGGAATTACAGGTACAAGATCTAACGTCAACTGCTCGTTATCGTACCACTCACGGGAAGCTAATCTTTCAAGTGGCCTTTTCGCCACATTTCATTATTCCAATTGATTCAATTTATTTGAAACTTGGAGCGAGAGAAACTTGGCGCAGAGCTATTCCCTGTTTCTTCGCTTAACTTAACAATTATTACTAGTCGATATTTCAATCTTACAATTATATCATCAGGCAAAAACAAACGAGGAATAGGATAGATTTAGGCTTGCCTGTCGATTTAAAAAAGAAAGTTATGCGAGTGTATGCGTCGAAGATGTGTATAAAACATCGCGCTTGGACATCAATGATGCAAAATCGTTTTGTGTTTTTTTTCTTTTTCCATCGCATGTAGGCTTTCTCGTCGTAACTGAACCTTCGTGGATCATCGAAGAAAAAATAAAATATATTTTATATGTATATATATACATATAAAACGTACATATCTTCTCGGAGAATGTAGAGAGAGAGAGAGAGAGAGAGAGAGAGACAAGCAATGCTATCCACTACGATCTTCTCGAGGGTCCGCTCGGCGAATTTTTTGGCGAGTAGAGACCTAATTTAAGAGCCAACTCTTTCGGCTTCTTCGACGTATTCTTCACCGGGAACGGATTGAATTGAGCCTTCGGACTTGGGCTGACGTTCAGGTTATCAACCCCGCTTTTGCTCGATCGTCCTATATTGGCCAAACTCAAAGAGGATTTTTTGTAACAACTGGAGCCTCTGATAGGTAGCGACTCGGTGTATTGGCCGCCGGTCGTTATCTTCTCTGGAAAGTCAGGATGAGAGACAGGTCGTTTGGTTTCGTCGGCGATGCCGGGTGATAGTTTCGAAGCGAGATAGTCAATGGCCGGTGGGAAGGGTTGATCGAATCGCCGATTTGGAGAAAGAACAGGATGATAATCTCTCAAATAGGTTCCAACGTTCGATTCGCTTTCTACCATACCAGATATCACTCTGTCGTAATTGGTATTCTTGTCGCGAATATAATTTCCCATAGGTGACGATGCTGGCTCATAGCTACGACGTAAGACGTTGCTAGTTTCATTGGAATAATCGATAAAGGAACTGGCAGGAACGGCTCTCGATTCGTTGCCGACGATGGACTTGTTGGGGTCGTTAGTTTGATCGCCGAAATACAAAACACTTTTCTCCATAGCCATTTGTTTGGGCTCGGTCGATAGAACGTCAGTGATATTTACCGTCGGCGACTCGTTGTTGTCGTCGTATCTCACTCGAAATTCCAAGGATTCCTTCGTTAAAATAGGACTCTTCGGGTGTACGTCGGCGTAGAGGGAATTCGTGGAGACGGTAGGCTCGCGATCAAAGTACTCGAAATTCGAATCAAGCGCATTGTCGTAGGGACGCGGTGTGTACGGATTACTGGGTATCCTCCTTGGGGATAGATTGCTTTTAAAATCGAAGCTCTTGTATGAATCGTAAGAGGATCCCTGCTTCAACGGGGAAGCATCCCTGAACGTTGGCATAGTTTTTGGCGAATATCGTATCGTTACGTCGGAGGTGTAAGGAGAAACGTTGGCGACGTAAGCAACAGCAACCGGTGACATGATTTTCGTTGGAACGTCCAACGGGGTGTCGGGTATCACCTGTGCCGAGGATATTTTGTCCAATTTTTCGAGCTCCCTGTAAATGTCTATGTCGCTTTTAGGCGACAAATCTCTTACGTAGCTCGACGACGAGTAAGGCTGACCGGCGGCGTATTGAGGATATCTTTCCGGCTGAATCGACTGAATTTCCTGGCTAGAGGAGCCTTGCTCGCTCCTCGTCTCGATAGAATCATTCGACGATTTGTAGGAAAATACGTTCGTCGAGATGCTGGTCAAGTCGAGGCCCTCGGTGTCGCTCACGTTCTGACTGGATGAACACTTTTCCAACGTCGCCACGCTCAGTCGTGGTTCCTCCTCGTAATTCGCCAAGAGTTTCGACAATTCCTCGTTAATTTTCCGATCTATCAGGGCCTCCCGCGTGTCGAAATATTCCTTGGACACGATCTCGTCAACGTCGAGATCGTCCAAGTGCTCGGTCTCGTCTATCAAGGAAAGCTTCGATAGTTCGTCGTTGATCTTGGCATCGAATTCGGAAATGCTCGTACCCGTCATATCGTCGAAATCTTTGAAATTAATTCGCGCCAATTCCTCGCTTATCTCGTCCTCGTTCAATCCCATTTTCTCCAATATAGGACTGAATATCTTGGAGATTTCCTCGTTTATAGGGCTGATCGTAATCTCCTTCGTTATTTCCTCGAGATCGGGTAGACGTTTTTTCGCCTGACACGCCAGGATCTTTTGTAGAATCGCCGAATTTTCTTGGATTATTTTCAAGGCCCTGTCGCTACTTCTCCGGCCGTTGTTACCGCCCCTCTTTCTCGGCTTCACCTTCGTCCAAACGCCCAATTTCGATTCTCTACCGTCGTTCTCCTCGTCCTCCTCGTCGTGCCGACCATCCACGTGGCCACCGTTGTCGTTCCCGTTAATCTTGTTACGCGAGACCGTCTTTAGGATACTGTCGATGCTCTCGTCTATATTTATCTTTGGGCGCACAACGTAGCACGACTTTCTAGCGTTGTCTAGGCCGTTGTACGGTTCGCCAATGTCGAGACGATGTCTCGAAAAGCCGCTTGCCGAATTGCTGAAATTGTCCTGTCGTCTGGCCTCGAGATTCTTAAAATCCTCCCATATGTAACTATTCTTCTTGCCGAGGAATATGCCTATGCTCTCGGAAGGTCCGTCGCTGAAGGCCTTAGCCTCGAGATGCTTCATGTCTTCCAATATGTCACTCGATCTTTTCTTTACGATCGACACCGAGAGCTCGTCCGTAGACACTGAAGATTTCAAATCCGCGAATCTTCGATCCAGACTGCTGGAACTTCTTTCCAATAATTTCGAGCGGTCCTTGTGCCTGAAATGAAGATTCATGAAATGCTTGTTCAATTGTTCTCGAGGCAACTGAGATACCGTGTCTTTCTCGGACGAGCGATCGTCCCCGTTATCCTCCGTGGACCCTTCCTCCTTTTCGTTTCTATAAAGAATCGAGCTGGCTCCGAATTCGTAAACTCTACGATCGCTTTTATCTCGTTCGAAGGCGTTCAAGCACGAATTCTTCCTCGAAATGTCATTTTCCTCTTTGCTATCGAATATCCTCGAGGTACCGGAGTCCGAGTTGGTACCATTGGCGCCGTTCGAACACTTGCTCGAATCCTTTGAAACGGCGAATCTTTGTTCCGGCGAGATCCCTTCGGTCGCGCTCCCCCCTTCGCGGCTGGATCTACGTTTCGAAAGGCCGTAAGGCGACGGAGTCTTCCGATTGGGATGTGCGATCGGATAAAACGGCGAGACGGCCGTGCTCGGATCGATGGACGAGTCCGAAATATTATCTTGACCTCGTTTCCCGTAGCTCGTAGACGTGTATTTTATAGAATTGGCACTTATAGGCGATCGAAGGTCCGAACTGAAGGACCTCTCGGAAGACTTCATTTTGCTCGGACTGCAGCTGCAGTCGCTGGAGCTGCTTACGATTAATTTCGGGCTCGAATCTGATTTGTACTTGAGCGAGTCAGTGCTGAACGGCGTCGACGGGCTCGTCGACCTTTCGTAGGACAATCTCTTCCCTTCCAATCTTGGACTCCCTCTGACCAGGTCGGACTCGGTCGTTGACAAAAGTACGAGGGTCTTCGAGTCCGAGCTTATCGAGGAACAGACGGACTTGTCCGTAGAGAATTCTCGGGAGACCGATTTAATCGGCGTCCTTGGACTGACGGTCATACTCGAGGCCTTAGAATCCGGACCCATCGTCTCGCCCGAGCTAAATGACTTTTCTAAACTATCTGGCGTTCTAGGACTCTTCTTCCTCGTTGTCTCCGTGGAAGGCACATTACCTTCCAAGCACCAAGACTTTTCGTCTCCTGGCCTATCCGAATTTCTAATCGTCCCGATGGTTACGGGATCGTCAATTAAGGCCGTGCTATAAGGGAGGACACTATGGCTCGTGGTATTTCCTTTCTGATCCACGTTTATCGGCGAGTTTATCGGAAGATGGCCGACGACGTAAGTCTTCGACGCGTAAAAACTTTGTCCAGACGGAATCGTCGAACCCGTCGACGTAACGTCCAACGAAATATCTCTCCTGGGAATCTGGCCGAAAACGTTCGCGTAAGTCCTCGCGGAGCTTTCGAAACTTTCCTCGTTCTTCGCGTTCGCCGATTTCAATTGAGAATTGTAAATACTTAACGATTCTTGAAACGTTTTGTCGTTCGTCTCCGAATTATGAACGGTTATTTTAAAGGAATCCAAAGATGTTTCGAGGCGTTTCTCGTTCAAGTTCGACGATTTAAAAGTTTCGTAAGACGTTGTATCGTAAAGCTTCTCGTTCGTCGCATCCGACGATCTTAAAGATTTATAAGAATCCAAAGATATGCCAAATCGTGTTTTACTCGTCTCGGGTGAATTTAATGTTTCGTAAGAACGAAGAGCCGCGTCGGCCCGTTGATCAATTCTATTTGGTGATTTTAACGACTCGCGCGTATCCAAAGCATTATCTTTCGTATCGATCGACGATTTCAACGATTTATAAGAAAGCAAGGAAACTTTAAAATCCGTCTCTACCGAGGGACTACGTATAGATCTATAAGAATCCCGTGAAATCTTTAGATCTTCTGTCTCAATTGTATCCGACGATTTAAAATCTATGCTTTTATAACTGTCCAAGGATCCTTCCTTGGTCTTGTAAGAATTCAAGGTCAATTCGAAACGTTTCTCCCTCTTGTCCTCCATCTTGTCGTAAGATATATCCTTGGAAATGAAATCGTCGGACAGATCGGCAGCGTATCTGCCATCGTAATCGCGAACTTTCGTTCGAGATCCGAGAACCGAGTTCGTCGTCCCTCCAACTTCGTCGTCGTCGTCGTCGCCGTCGCCGTCGCCGTCGCCGTCGTCGTCGTCGTCGTCGTCGTCGTCGTTCCCTCCAACGGATTCCTCGTTCTTATTCGTCGGAATATAGCTAGTATTTATAGATTCGCCGTAATTAAATTGAAAATAATCCCGATCGTCGTTTAGTAAGGAACCTAAAGATTCCCTCTTCTCGTCGACTCCATTTGGACACTTCGAAGGTATCATCATCGCTTCTAGCGAAGCCTCGAGCGACGCTCCTCTCTTAACGCAATCATCTTCTTTCTTGATCTCGCCCTTTAAAAGCGCTTGAGGAACCATCGTATTATTGTCATCCTCGGCCGATAATCTTCTTATTTGATCGGTGATTTTGGCTATCGACGAGGAGGTATCATCGAAATCGGGACTATCTCCCGCTACGACGTCACGGGATGGAGCCGTCGCGTCACGAACGGGCGAATTGGCCGAGGTCGAAGAATCCTCGACCCTCCCGCTTTTCTCCTCTTCGCTCGCCATGACGTAATAATTGTCAGACGCTGACGTTAGCTCCTCGCTGTCGACGTCGCTGCATCGATCGACCTCGTCGCAAAGCTCGGTCGACGTGCTGTCGCTGTCACTGTCGTTGAGCCCACTTTTCGGTGACGTTACCACCTCGTCCACCGTCTCCGGCTTCGGCTTCGATTCGGCCGGCAACTTCTCGTTGCATTTCGTAGCCTCTACGACGAATGAAAAAGATCGATCGATAAGGCAGACTATCCAATGGCAAGGGTTCGTGAAGGTTGTCGAAACGTTATCGATGTAACTTACCGCGATATACGTATTCCGATCTCCGAGGTCGTTGAAAAATAAAACGAAAGAAAAATATCTTTTTTACCGTGCGAGAATTGCTAAGACGACGGCGGTCGATAAGAAAGGATTCTACATTCCCGCGCGACTCATACGATAGAATAGAAGAGATCGAATGAGAACGATCGTAATAAATAAAAGTCGCGGTAAATTGACGCGGGATAGAGATAAGTGATATTTTTTTTTTTTTCCATACCGGCAGCTGTCTCTCCAAACTTGTGTTTCTGCTGCCTCTTCGTGTCCTTCCAATGCAAAGTGACGACTTGCTGTTGTCTCTCCTTTTTACTCGTAACCCGTGGACCTTGAAGAACGACCGGTCTCGTCTTGGTAGGGGTCGTAGCAGCTGACAAACCGAGTGATCGATTCTTTCCACTGACCAGGGCATTCTTACCGACTAACAGGTGATTCATGGCCTGAGAAGTGGGCGGTGGAACCATCGACTGTCTCGCGCACGCCGCTATAATATCAAACGGAGAACTCTTTCGATATTCAAAATCTAATTATGAGACATCTTCTAGGACATCGCAGTAAGCATAATCGAGTAGCAAGGGATTAACTTAACGAGGTGTGCTTGCTTGCTCGATGCTCTCTTGCCCTTCGAACAACGAGATCGATCAACGAATCGATTCTCTTCGATAATATTTCGTTTCGACTCGAGAATCGCGAGGACGATCGTTTAGCCCGCCTCGCCTCGCATTTCGGTACGAAATTTACCAATGAGACGGCTCGAGCGTTCGCTCGCTCCGATTTAATAATCGGATATGGGGCTTCTGATAATTACCGGATAGTATAATATGAGCTTGCCGTTGTCGTTCTCGAAGCTTAGCATACTGTTGTTTCAACGTACTGATGTCCAAAGCGAGACGTTCCCGATCGTTGCCAGGAGCCATCGCTTGTATCGCTCCCACCGTCGAGGAAATGTGCTCTACGAATGAATATTTTAACATTAGATTATTTTCCTTCGAGGACGAAGTAATAATCTACCTTGATTCTAATAAAATCTCGATCGTGGATTATCTCCCGTAGATTACGCTAGGAAATAATATTTCGTATAATCAGAATTGATAATTGTTCAATTACCACTCAAAAGTTCACCTTTCTTCAATCGCTGTGCCATACTGAACATAGCAGCGGCCACGGCTAATCTTTCGTCTTCCTCGGTATCGCTGTCCTCGTCGTCGCTTAATTTCCGTGCCCACGGTGTAATATTATACCTATGTTTTTCTCGAAGTCCTGTCACGCCGTGCAGTGGTCCCAAACTGACGATGTTCTACAAGAAATAATCGTTACGTCGTAAAGTATGAAGGTTAAGGGGGGAGAGAGAGAGAGAGAGAGAGAAAAGTAAATATCGATCGATTAAATCGACATATATTCAAGGGCATACGGCATACGAAGCGTGCCGTATGCTAGAGCGACATCGTCTCGCAACTGACCTTTATAAGATTATTCGTATTCGTAAATTCCAACATTTCTCGCGTGAGAACGCCCATGATACTGTAAAACTCGTCCGCCGACGTAACGGTCATAATACGGCTGAAAGAAGATCGGTGAGGTGACAGAGGTTCGTTATTAACGAACGGACAACGAATTTCTACGAGATCGTGAATAGAACTGACTGTACGTACTCGGAAAGACTCTCCCAAATGGCCAGAGCCGTCCTTAGGAGCACTTGGTCACCCTCGAGAAATATTAAATCCCAAACGCGGAGTACCGCGTCTTGCGGCAAGCAATGACAAAAGAGCGTGAGGAACCATTGCATGGTGAAGACATTCGTGAGAGGTGGCTCGTAGCTGCTACCTGCAACAAACGGTTTGCCGGTAATTAAAACGGCTCGATCGAAGTTTTGATCGAAGAAAATTTTGATCGCAGGCCTTAACGTCCAATTTACGCTACCAGTAGCCTTATCCTTAGCGTCGCTTTGCAAAATCTCAAGGTGCTTGGATAATTTCGGCATTCTCGAACGAAGAAGATCACGAAAAACGGCCATGTCGACGGATAACCCGCGAAGATTGTCGGCAAAGTAACCTTCCGGTAGGACACCCTCTATTAGATAAATCATCACTTTCACGGCCGATGATTCAGCGCGATCCATCACTTGTAATACAAGAGCCGCCAATACGTTCAATCCTTGACAATAACCGACCGACTTGTTCCATCGCGCAAAGCCAAGCAATACTCGACGTAGCACGGCTTGATTGTCACGTCCAGCTGCTCCGCAAAACAAACTGCAGCCCGTTCTGTGAAGATCCTGAAAAGAGGTAATCAGTATTCCCCGATCATCTTCTACGCAACCTCTGCGCTTATCGTTTACTAATGGCCGCCGAGAAAAAAACAAAAATGCATCCGTTTGCTTCTCGTTCGGTAACGTAATGTAAGATAACAAAGAAAAAAAAAAAAAAAACAAATATAAAGGAGATAAGAACCGGTTGGGTTAGAGAAAACGATAATAATTAGCTTCTTTATCAGTTGTCTTACCTTAACGATTTGTATACCGAGCTCCTCGTCGTCGGGATTACTCCACTCGTTGAAGCAAACCTTTTCAGCCTGCTTCCAATCTACACCCCGTTGATCCAGATGACGTTCCGCCAGTGTCAGCCAAAGCTGTTAAAGATTCGCCGTGAACTCTTTGTTACTTTTCTTATTTCTTTCTTATCAAAATTGACAATTTCTCAAAGGGTTTTCGGAATTTAGGAAGACTCGAAATGACAGATATTAAGCATCCCTATCGTGCTTACTCTTTTTCGAAATTCCGCTGGTATGCCTCCTGGCAAACGCGCTACCATCTTCATCGCGTCCAGCCATTGTTGAAATCCACTTTCCCCTGGCTGAGGAGTCAAGCTAAATCTCATCTTCGTATCTTCGACTGAAATCGAAATAATGCGAATACGGATAGGGTGACGAAGAGAGGGATCTTCCCTCTTCCCTCGCTTTCTGTTTTTCTTTTTCTCTTCTCCTTCCCTTTTTCCCCATACGCACGTACGTCCGTGGACACGTGGCCACGTCATCCCCATTTATCGAGAAAGTCAAAGTTCACGCGAAGGTATTCGCGTTGCGAATCTAAGAAATAACATCCTACTAACTAGCCGGGTACTTTGACTTTTTGGCGAGTCACGCGCCGATTAATACGCGCTTTAATTACGCGCCTCCTATCAATTTTTTATCTTTTCCATATGAATTCTATATGAAATTCTTTTCCTTTTACGATGATTATCATTGATAAATGGTTGGGACGAAGACGTTGCCCCAGAAATACGGAAGAAACGTTTTCGACATTAGACGACATTATTTAACGGCGTGACGAAGTCAACGCGAACGTATTACAACGGGCAAGCACGGGTGTATAATCGTGCGTATAGGCAAATTAGCGCAGATAAGACATTATCTTTTTCCACGCGGCACAAGATAAGGCCGTGGTTGAAAATCACCAACGGGCATTTTCAACTCGTTCGGGAATGTTTTATTCGCGATCAACTTTTCATTTACAACTTTTTACTTTCTTCATTTCTTTTTTTAATTGAAAAAGGCTTCTCGTAGAAATTCGTTCTCTCCGGGAATATTATCGGCTAATTGTCGCGGAGAGAGAAAACGGGAGGAAGAAGGAACAAAAGAAAAAACGAACGGACGAACGAACGAACGAACGAACGAACGAACGAACGAACGAACGAACGGACGAACGAACGAACGAACGAACGAACGAACGAACGATAACTCGTAGAATATTATTTCACCTTCCAGCTCTTGATATCTCGAAGCAGAGCTTCCTGCGTACGCGGCTGCCGACGCGAGGTTTTTGAGTGAGTTGAAAAAACCGCTCATTCTCCAATTAGAAACGCCTCTCTTTCTTCTTCATTTTCTCATCTTTTCATCTGCCCTGCCTCTTATTATATCGCGTGCACGCGCCGCCCTTCAACCGTTTTCGTGTCTCATGATATCTCGTCCTTCGATTCATCGCCTTGGAATCATCGCTAGCGCTTTTCGAAACTTTTCCCATAGGAGTTCCGCTTTCGTTAAGCCTCTGAAAAGTTCACACATAGACATATAGGTCGATGGGACTGCGATAAAAAAGAAATAGGTACGATTAGTTCGCCTAATTTTGTCATCTCGATTATTCGGATGCCACGTTCGCGTCCGTAGAAAGGAACTTTGTCATTTTTCGCATTTTCCACGATACCGCCGCCGAGTCGTCTTACGTAACATTTGCTCCGCCGCGAAAGACCAACGGCAGCACGTGGCTTTTTATTATTGGCATGAAAAGTTACACCGGCTAGGCACCGGCTTTAGAGGAGAACAAAAGATAGCCGCATTAGGTTGGACGAATCTAGAGGAAGAAAGAACAAAGAGAAAGATAGAAAGAAGTTGGAGAAAGAAAGAAAAAAGAAAAGGGAAACGTCCGCGTGAATTTATACATTCGCGCTAGACAACATTTCCTTGAAGCTTATATACGCGCGACCGCACCACCTGTTAGAAACTATGTCATCTACATGTATACATATGTGCGTGTATAGATGGAGATCATTCTAATATCATTGCACTGCCGTGTTTTACGACAAGAACATAAATCATAGGCATCCTTGATTCTTTTCGATAGGATCATCGTTTATTAATAGTCAACGTGTTCTCGTCCAAACTGTCGTTGGGAAAAAACATAAACGTTTCGAGCAAGTACATAAATATCATCTTGAAACGAATTAATTAACGACTTTACGAGTAAGCCTCGATGCGAACGAGATCGAGCTGTATAATTTTTCACCAAAAACACTTATTCCGTTCGCGACGAGAAGAAAAGGACAATCGTTGCGTTGTCGATACGTCTAGGGACTGACCTAATTTCAACCAGGAGAAAATGAAACTCTACCGTATCTCATGTATAATCCCGTCGAACGAGTTCCATCGCACTGGAAATGTGCACTGACGTACGGAGAGTGCCCGATATCGAAGACTAACAAAACGCGTTATACACGACAAAAAATGTTTACTTTTAGGAAAGATAAAGAGAACGATGTGTCGGTGAGAAGGTTTCTCGAAAGAATCGATGCGACAACGAACCCCGAGTTTGTTCTTTTTTCATTTGGCGAGCACGCTCACGAGAAGGCTGCAAAGAAATATTGAGGCACGTTTTCTCTCGACGATTATCAACTTTGATCATCCTACCATCCTTCCCCTTCTCTCTCTCCTCCACTCTTCCTCCCTCCCTCCCTCCCTCCCTCCCTCTCTCTCTCTCCCTCTCTCTCTCTCTCTCCCTCTCTCCGTCTGTCTGTCTGTCTCTCTTTGGCGAAGAAAAAAGGGATTGAGCACTTTGTCAAATGTCGTAGTCGACGTAGAAAACGTCCAACGTCATTCTGTTCCGGTTAACGTCGAATCAGAGTCCGAACGCGAAGCTTTAGCTTTTGGCTCATCTCTGGACGTCTTCCTTCTCACACAAGAAAAAGTTCAACGAAAAAGTAGAAATTAAAATATGTCAATGTTTCGCACGATAACGATTCTATGTGTTTGAATTTTACTTTACGATAAGGATCCTTCGAAACAAATTGCAAATTTGAGAGGGGAAGGGAGATAAAAAAGACGCGATAAACGACAGTCGTATACGACTGGAGTCAGCTGAACGACTAAAGGTGGAAGCCGTCGTGGTGCTGTGTGGGCGCGCGCGCGCGCAGCACCGTCGATGGTTACGACGCCGACGGTGGCGGCGATAGGCAGGTTCACGTTCCCGATGTAAAATCTGTGTCTATAGTCGTCGAGCTAGTTCCTTCACGGTAAGAGCTCCGCTGCGATAGGCTCCGCTGGCTACTTCGTAGGAGCTCGACATATCGGCTAGGCTCGAACCCTAGACTGGAACCCTAATGCACGTCTTTGACGTCGTTTCAATCCTCTCGTTTCGTTACTCTCGTTTGCCGCGCATGCGTCCTTCTCACCGAGATGATTCCATCGAAAAATGCCGTTGCCATCGAGACAAATGCGTCAGGGAGAGAAATAGAGTCTCTGGAATTTGAACTTTCTTTGATTTATTTTGCGACTCGCTTCGATACTCGTTTCATCTTTCTATTCCATTTTAAGGGAAATATATCGTAGAGATCTTATTATCGATTCTTATTTCTCTTTTACAAGGCCACGGATAATTTTAATCCTCGCGCAAGATCTTATCTCGCATCATGGATCGACGAACTTATCGATCGGTTGGTTTCCTTTTATGGGTCACTCCTAGTCTCCTAGTTATAAGTACCAGTACGTTCCAAGGAGAACGCTTTTCTTCTCTTTCTTTATTTATTTCTTTGTTTTCTTTGTAACGATAGGGAGATTAGAGTCTTACGCGGCTTAGGGTCGAACGACGAAATTAATTTCGCAAGTAATTTAATTGCTATTCGTTCGTTCCAATTTCTGCGTCAAATTCGAGGTCTCGCTAGTTCGTAGCCTCCCGGAGAAACATCGTCGGGGATTTCGCAATTCTCGTAGATACAGGAAACGTCGTTAAAACCGACTTTAGGTGGCGGCACACCGCGTAAGAACTATGGTCGTGCGCAGTATACGCCGAGCATGCGTGTTTAACGACGTAGAAGCGGCAAAGTCTAATTATTGATCACCGCATCGTCGTCGTGCACGAAAGCGAGTTCAAGTCTTCATTGTCTCACCGACGAACTCGTTATTATTATTTCGTCTTTGAATTTTCAATCGTATGGATTTTCAATCGTATGGATTACAACACAAATTTGTTCTAATAAAAAGAAAATCATAGCGGCCACGGAGCGCGGTACTTCTCGAAGGTAAATAAGAACCCGGAGCGGATCGTACGAGCGTAGGCGTCAATGCACTCCGTTCATTTTATATGCATAGTACATATGCTGAGCGAATTTATATATACTATACTCTTTAAAAACAAATAACTTATTTTAACTTAATACTATTAATCCACCGCTACGAGACTTCGTATGTAGGTATTTCAATAATTTTTCTACTTTTGCTTAAGAGAATTTACTTTCACGAGATGCAAAAAGATTCTTCGCTGTGCGAAACTTTATCGAAACGTTTTTATTTCCCAATAAAATCCCATTGATATCGTTCTCTTTTAGGCGACATTGTTAAATATATTCCCAGGTAAAATTCGGCTTTGTCGAATGATAAAAGAGCGCGTATAAGCGCCGTACTCGAGAATTATTCGCGCGTGCATGCGCAACGGCGGTCATTTAAAATCCTTACTACCAACCTATCGTTACCATCGAACTTTGACTTTCAAATTACGCGAGATTCATTTCAAACGTCGTAAAGTCCTACGCTTTCCAGCCTCAAATTCAAATATAAATAATATCTTCAAGTTCCAATAAATCCTGTCTAACGTTATCCAAACACCAAGATTTTACATCAGGAAAATTGAGAAAACCTTTTTAACAGTATCATTTTATACAGGCAGATTAATTATATTATGCGCCGTCCATAGTTGATCGTAGCAACGTTATTACGCTCGTAACGTTGTTTCGCTAAAAGGCAGTACGTTAATCGTTTTCTATGTTACACTAACAAAACAAATAATAGTTTGACTATTAACCGATCAACGAGTAATTTCGTTCTCGAGTAAACTAAACTTATCGATCGTACAATATAATTTGTATTATCGAGCGAGGCAATAAACGAGAGAAGAGGGCTGCGAGTAGTAATGCGCAATATGGACAAAGTAAATCACAATCGAGCCTTTACTTACTCCTTTTCGCGCTATGCGCTTGCAAATTAGCGGTGATGATGTCGCACTGTTTGTCACGTTTAGCAGTTAGATAATCCTTTCTTCGCAGTTGACGAACGAGCAATCCACCGGTGTGATTAATATGATCGTATAAAATCTTTATCAATACATGCAACTCGGTCTTGCCTGAAAACAATGTCATTTAACTTTCGTCTCGAATAGAAAAGTATTTGCTCCAGGTGGAACATAAACGTCATCGTAGAAATAGTTTTTTAAACTTGATCTTTTACCGTCATTGATGTTTTATGATTTTATTTCCTCGCACAGCTAAATTTAACAAGGTAGATGAAATGCTTGTATAGATAAAAAAAAAAAAAAAAAAAAAAAAGAAAACGAGTGTACGGTAAAAAAACAAAAAAGGAAAAAAAAACAGGACGGCACTTAAAGTCGAGGAACGTTCTTGTCTCGAAGTCAACGAGGTCGCTCGTCTGTCTGGCTTCTACAGCCTCTTGTCTCGTCAGCTTCCCGAACCCTGAAGAGGCTTTACTAATTTCAGGGTGTCTTTGATTTCTCTCTCTCTCTCTCTCTCTCTCTCTCTCTCTCGTGAATTTATCGCAAATTCGAAGCCTTTTTCTTCTTGCTTAGCTCCCCTCCCCGCGCCCCGCCTTCCCTGAGAATAAGAAAGTCTTGCAAATTTTCAAACGAAAGCTAAACTTTCTTTGAACTATGTCCCCGAGTTATTTCTCTCTTTCTCTCTCTCGTCTCTCTAAACGACGTCTGGGAGAAAAAAAGCATTTCGAACAATGACGTCTACGTTCTCTACGAATGAAAAGACATTTATCATAGCTTTCCTCCCTCCAAGGATCAATATCGTTTGTGTGCGCTTCCACATTGAATAGTCTTACTTTTCAATAGGAGACGAGCCTTTTGTAAATATTGGTGCTGCGGATGTTGTCTCAAGGACGAAGAAGCTGTGGAATCGCTCTCGGAACGACTACCGGACGGGAAACCATAAATGTCCAGTAATAGCTGATCCACGAGCGAACAAACCCGTACTTCCTCCTTGTTATCTCGTATCGCCAGTGGTGCTGGATACTTCTGCAATAACATAGGATAAGACAAGTCCTTGGATTTATCGCAGAAACGTGTGATATTCAACGGATACCTTTGGACTCCTCCGCAAGTTGTCGTTTTTAACGTCGACGATCATTTCGAATCGTCGATTACTCGGAACACCTTCTATAGACTTGCTCCTTCGTATCTGTCTTTTAATCGCCGGCGTAACGCTTTCGCTGGCTCTTCTAATCGGTAATTTTTTATTCAATTCCATAAAGTCCGGACCTTCGAACCTTTGCTCGATCAAATTACGTTTTTTCGTTTTGCGGATCGAAGAGAAGGGATAACCGATCGGTGAGTAATCGATATTTCTCGTTCGATGAGTGACAAAGACGTCGCCAAAAACTCTTTCGTTTTCCACGGCGACGCATTTCACGCGATAACTTATCTCGGAATGATTCTTCAGCGGTATCACTTTGCAATTCATGTCGAACGATCGGTTCTCCTCTTCGCATTAAAAATTATAATTAGCTTTTCAATTCAGTTAAATTATATTATAGAAAGATAGATACGTCGGTGGAATCGATGTATTTGATTAAACGCATAGAACGAACGTGAGAACGGCCCTTAACGTGTCCCCTGTTCACTGTGTCGTGCACTCGTACGCACGATAGAAAGATAGATTTCAGTTTTACGCGACGTAATTAAAGATACGTCTAATTGTAAGTCGACAAGCGTGGCAGAAATCTTGACACGTCGTTCTAACAGATTCTTCCTTCGACAAGCGGTTTGAATAGGGAAAAATAGACTGTCGCTGCGAAGTCGTGGAAGAAACAAACGACGATACGCCGTGATAACGATGCGAGAATGATCTCGTCAGGGCCAAAGGCAATGCCGTTGCAATTAAATTTATCTAACGGGTAGTAGTACTTATCGTTTGCCCGCACACTCCTCTTAGACGGCCGATCAAGCTTTTTCTTAGATATGTCGATAGGATGAAAAAATAATGTTGCATTATAACGCTCGAACACACTTGGTCTTCGTTACTAAAACACTTTCTACAACGTGCCTAGTTCCTGCATTTCGTTCTGGACAGCGTTCTAGACGTTATCACAAACCGGTAATACCCTTCTGGTAGCCAGACCACAACTGGAAACGTCGACGATGATAATCGCTTCATTAACCGCGCACACCTACATTTCTAACTGTCGTATCGCTGAGTGGTCGTGGACGTGGAAATGAATAAATTAAACAGACGCGTTGCGCTTATATTTATCATCCGTTCGCTTCTTGATCCCTCGGAAGAGAAAAAAAATTATACCTCTTTTTTTGTTTGCGCTGCAGTAATGCTCGAGTAAAATTATTTTTCTTCTCGAATTTTTCTCTTCGCTCACGAAAATTTGTTTGAGAATTTGTCCAATTTGTTTTTTATTTCTTCATTTCGTCGTAGACAAAAAAGTCAAAGAAACGGAAAAGCTCCTATTATTTTTACGAGTACGTATCTATACTCGTACAATATTATAGAAGATCGTATTAATTCGCTTTTCGGTTCTCGACGAAAAACTTTATCGTTACGAGGTTGCGACGATAACATAGCGAGCATAGCGAACGTACGCCGTAAGAATTTAAAGCGGACAGTGCCCGGTGGTCGCGCTAATCATTCACCTGGTGAAGCTCATTGACCCCCTTCTAATCGGTAAGCTTCGAAGGGGACCCCTATCCGTATTTCCATTACTTTTTTCACAATTTTCCTTTCGACGATCGTCGTCCGATCGACGACGATAGTTTTCAGTCTCGGACGAGTACCCGAGAAAAGGGAATACGAACGTATTCGAAGCTTTCGGACAGATAAGTGTCGTAGTAGTAGATTATCATAAATAACGTTTATTGCTATAGCCGCGATAATTGCCATGGGAGATACTCCTTGTTGACTTTTCTATTCCCCATTTATTTTGTGCAACGCAAAAGATGTAAACGTAAAAAGTGGCTTTTATCGAAAGTGGGCCGTATCGTGAAAGCAAATGTTAAATCGATGTACACAATTCGCGATCGAAATAACGTAACTATGGTAGCGAAACAAAGATGGAGATTATTCCATCATATGGCCGACGATAATATATCGTTCCTCTTCCATGAGACCAACGTCTATCTATCTCGTCGCGTTAATTAAATTTCGATGTGAAAATCTTCGGAAATGTCCGTAATTCCTTGTCCTTGCAACGAAGAAAAAGATTCGGAGGAAGATGGATTGCGTCCTCGTACCGACGAAATTTATCGAACGTGCAAGCTCCCGACGCGATTCATGTATCCAAGTGAGTATGACGAAGTGACGCGATAAGTGAAGGAGCCACGATATAAAGTCCATGAGAAAGGAGTTGTTAAAGGAATAAGGAATATTGCGCCAACACTTTTAAGCGTAAAACTTGTGTACTATCGGTACACAACCGATAACCTTTCCTTGACCTTAGACCACTTCTTCTCTCTATCTCTTTCTCCGAAAGAGTCTATCGTTAGAAAAGTTGAATTTGAAAGACAAATTAAAAGCGAAATCGGCTCGCATCGAGAAATCGTTTATTTATCGTCTTCGACCGTGCGATCTTCGTCCGACGTAACGATACGTAAAGTAATTCAATGAATGCCTTTTTTTGAAACCTATTCTCTCCCTGGTACACGTATTACGTTTAATTTATCGAAGATAAATCGGGAAGAAAAACAAGGGGAAAAAAGAAAGAATATTTTTAATAAATCGAATTGGAACAGTTGTCCGTTTCCAAGGGGAATCAATTATTCCGAGCGGCGAATCAATTAATCTATTTAATCAATTTAAGTCCTTCTCTATCGATCTTAATTAGTAGTTTGGATTCGTCGAGAATATTGGAAGGATTTGAACCTTCCTCCCTTACCGTCAATATTCCTCTCGCCATTCCTTATTCTTCGCAATTAGTCGTAAAGTCTACCGCGAGATATTCTCGTTAAGTGCACGATAACGCTCGGCTATTAATAAGCAGGCCGTACTCGATCACTGCGTGCACCCGTTCGAGTCTTATCACGAATAATAAGCGTTTTTATGTATGTCACCGCGTATACCTCGTGTATTATTAGTCATTGTTATCCGTAAAGAGTCAGTTTCCTTAACGATTGGATCCACCACCAAGTACAAACCTAACTGCGAATATCGCGTTTATCGTTATTAAGCTTTACCTCGTTACGAAAGAATTTCTCTCTTTGTTTCAATCTCGTTGTTTTATTTTCTTTTTTTTTTTTTTTTCAAAATGTGTCGTCGTTTAAACGAATTCTTTTTCAAAATAAGATAGAAATGATGACGATATGAAATGACGACGGATGGAAATTATTCGACAACGATCGAATATCCTGCGTTAAGTTTGATCCAACGCGAAGCATTCATTACTCGCATCGAAGTAAGAAAAAGGGCTGAGCTGGGAAGAATATCGAGTATCTTAATGATTTTACGAGCTTTTACGTGGTTCAGGCGGGAGAAACTCGGACAATCGGCGTATTTATGCCGAGAATGCGATATCTCGAGAAATGGTAAATGCGACGAGAGAGAAGTCGTGTCTATATGAAGAGAAAACGATCTCCCACGGGGTCAGTGGAAGTTCAGCTTCACGGTTGAACGTCACGACGAACGTCATGCTGTGCTTTCTCGTTCTCGTCTTACGAGTTCTCTCGTTTTCCCCGTTATCCGCGTACGCTTATGCGGACGAAGAAATCGATTGTCAGGTATATAATCATCTTCACGTTTGTCTCTCGAACGGAATACTCGAGAGCGTAGCATTTAAGGACGTAAAGGCCGTTCAAACGATCGAGGATACGGAATTGCATCTAGAGGATCTTGCCATCACGGATATCAGAAAGAACGCGTTTCTACGAGTCAACAGTTCGACGGCCCTTTATTTACGAAACAACGGTTTATCGATCGTCTCGAAGCATTATTTCGAGTCCCTCGATCAATTGACGTATTTGGATTTACGAAACAATTCAATCCGAGACATCGAGGATGCCGCCTTCGCTGGATTAAATTATTTGGAGACGTTGCTCTTGGATTATAATAACGTTTCCTATTTACGGCCGAACATTTGGAGGGGCTTGACCGAACTTCACGAGCTCTATGCCACGAACAACAACATCGTGCTGAGGAGAAATGCGTTTAAGGGTTTGAGACAATTGGAGACGCTCGCCTTGGATTCTAATGGTATAACGGAAATACCGATCGGCACCTTCGCCGGGCTACCTCACATCGATCTACTTTACTTGTCGAGAAACAAAATATCCACCTTCCAGCCGGATGTATTCCGTGGGCTTAATGAGATAAACGAGTTGGATCTTGGAAAGAATCGTTTCCAATCTCTTCCCGTTGGAGCATTTCGATATTTGAAGAGCTTAAATTCTCTTTGGTTGAACGGGAATGCGATCGAAGCGATCGAAAAGGACACCTTCGAGGGTTTGGACGATCTCTCGATTTTGTTTTTGAATAACAACGAACTTCGTTACGTCGACATGTCGGCTTTCGCCAAAATGAAAATTGTCACCGTAGAGCCCGGCTTCAAGATAAACGACGAACTGGTCGAACATTTTTCCGAATATACTGGAAAATATCATTGCACCAACGTTCTCTTTCAGGAGCCCTACGATTGCAGATCGTAATTGTCAGCGTCCAGTCCAAAATCGTGACCTGTCCGTGACAAATTGTATACGCGTATAATAGCCCCTACGATTATAATATCGATTAAAGTCAATTAACAGTTTAGAGTTTCTACCTAGAGAAATTTGTCGAAATGTAATAGCTTTTAAAAGAGGTATTAAGTGACTTTAGGAAACGTTTGCAGCACACGTATATATATATATATACACATATACTTCTCGCACGAAAAGTGCATAAAAAGAATTTATCGTTCGATATCGGTCACGTGGAACGCGCAATGATAAATGTATTAAGCAGCTGCGACTGTTATGCGTATGTACTAAAATAAACTGTATGTAACGCGTCTCCGAGTCGACTATGAGAAAACTATGCAAATAGGCAAATAGCTCGAGCGAGTTGTTGGAAAGTAAAATTTATCGATTTAATATCGATCGATTTTCCAACGAAGAAATATACCTAAGCGTCTATACTGATCTATCGATCGTCGTCTTTATAGGGGTATTCAAAGGATATCGTCAAGACGACCTTCCTCTTCCACATCCCTGCTATAGGAGTACTTCCATGGATTATGGTTGGTACGCGCCTACGATTCATACCGTTCCTACAACCTACTATCCTCGAAATACTTTCTTCACTCGAGAGGCTGCCCTCGGTGGAATGTATCGAAATTACTCCTTAAACACGGAGCTTGACAAGACTTTCTTTTGATTCGAAATACGTTTACAATCGTACTCTTAGAACATTTTTAATAAATTTTCTATTAATTTTTTTTCGAGTGTACTCACGAATGTATTAAAGAAATGAAAATTAAAGAAATTCTCAAGGATATATTAATGGTTACTATTCATTATTACTATCGTTTTACGCATAGATATTTTTTTATTATTACAGTTCAGCTTGTATGCACGCATGCATGTGTGTGTGTCTCTGTGTGTGTGGATATACATACATACATATATATATATATATATATATATATATATATGTGTGTGTATATATATGTATATATATGCATACATATGTATATATATATATATATATATATATATATATATATATATACACACACACACTTGCATATACATACACACGTTTCGCGTTAATCATACTTTAACGGATCCTATACGTCGGGCACATTTCCAATATAGCGTGCCCGAGATTACGTCTAATCGCGGATTATAAACGTCTCCTTTGCATTACTTGTCTCTTGCGATACATTTATCGAGTAGTGATAATAATTTGTTTCTTTTTTTTTTGTTCTTTTTTTTTTTTCATTTAAATCGCGATTCACATTTTACGGGTGCATCGGCTAATCGGTGAATTGGAAAACTTTTACGACGATTATTACACATCGATTATTTATATAATGTCACTCGGGGATGTCTAAAATACTTTGCTACGGCGATATTTCATCAATTGCCGTCGATCTCGCTAATGTCGATAATAGCGGTACAATAATAGTAATAATAATAATAATAATTCAATGACAACGCAACATGTGTATATTATATGTACCTACATAACACAATGGACATTCATCTATCGCTTTAACACATTTTCCAGTAACAATCGTAAAGATTAGGAAACGCTTTGCGGGATACTTCATAATTCTATTCTGGTTAACAGTTAATCGATGAAAGTAATAATGCTCGATAACCGGTGTTCGAAAGATCGCTTGATGTTAGATGAAATCATTGATCTAAATAATGAAACGTTTGAATGTAAGAAGCGAACAAAGAGAAATTATACAAATTTCAAGAAAATTGACACCGCCAAAAGAAATTGCTTCTAAATGAATCTTCGTCAAACATTTCATTATAGCAATGATATTCTTTATTGAAGATCATAATAGCTAATCCTGTGCTCGCTGGCAATCGTCTTTCCTTCCTTTACGTTGTTCTAATGAATTAATTATCTTTCGTTATAAACGTTCGAGAGAAAAATTGTGACGGATAATTTAAGGAGAACGTCCACGAACAATGAAATAAATTAATAAATAAAAATCGACCGTCAACGAGCACGTAGTACCGAGACAGAATATCTAGCCATTATGTATTAATAACGCATACTTCACATTCCTACTCTATGTATATATATATATATATATATATAAATGTCTTCTTTTTTTTTTTCTTTTTTTTTTTTACTTATAATTTTATACAATCACTCATATATCTCGTCTCTACTGCACGCCTTTTATCGTTCTTCCTGTTGATATCTGGGATATAGGTAATTTTATTAAATCGTAAGATTTATAATGACCAACGCTCGAATCGAAAGTCGAATAATATTTAACAATTAACGATGACAAATAGAACACACCTTTTAATTTTTTCTCTTTGTCGCACGCCCTTTAGCTTCTAATATACATTGTCTATATTTCCTTTTGCGTTCATTTAATGTTTAGTGCTTTTTAACGATAACAAATCGCATCCTGTGCGTAGGAAAAAAAAAACAAATCAAAATATATACGCGTACGATCTTCTTACGGATGCTGTTTTATTTCCTTTCAAATCCAATATCCTATCACTTTCTTTGTTTACATCGTTTCTCTTTCTCTCTTCTCCTTCCTTGAGTAAAAACAGCGTCCATAAATCTGAGAAACGCAATTCGACGATAACGAAAGCTTCGAAAGGATGAACGAAAGAAAAACATCCCAGTCATTCTCCCTACGCGCTAATGCACATCGTCGTTGAGCCGCACGGTTTTATATTGTCGTTCATCTAATGTAAATTATGAGGACTTAATTCTCTAGGAAGTTGGACCGTCCTTGGTTCTGATCTTCGTTGATCATCGATCATCCAGTCGATCCGATTTATTAATCTTAGGATGTTAATCGCATTTCCTTCTACCTTTCCCTCCCCCCTTTATACTTCTTTTCGACGATATAATTCTTATCGCGCATCAAAGAAAGCGTTCGAGATTCGTCTTTTCAATTCGATTCTTTCGAAATTTCCTGACCATTCTATCGTTCCCCATTTTTATTCAAAATTTTCAACTGCGCTTTCACATACCACTTATTCTTCTTCCTCTATACATTATATATATGTATATATGTATATATGTACACATATGTATATATATATATATATATATATATACATATATACATATTATATAAATATGTAGTTTTAATTAGACCTGTGTCTTTCTTAGACCCTTTAAACGTTAATCAACGTCGGTCTTTATTTTCTCTCATCTTTCCTCGGCACGATAGGCTGATTATCAATTATTATATTTTGTATTATCGAATGAGTAACATCGAGATGTATTCGAAGATAATAATCGTTAACGTTTATGCAGCATTATATTATCATTTTCATATTACTTTATAATCATATATTTACTTATATATATTTTTATATATATATATATATTATTTTTTCAAAATTCTGTGTGTATTCTCGTGTGTGATTATTATACATGTGGCTAGCACGCATTGAAATCAAGGTGGTTACGCATGTCGGACAACTTTGTACTTCGCCGTCGACAACGTCTAACGCTAGAGATTTATAACTTGACATATTTTTTTTTTTTAATCGTTTAATTTAACGTTTACTTTATTTTATGTATTTTAAAAGAGTTTCTATTACACAGAGTTTGAGTATTTATCGTGTTAACGAGCTTTCGCTTAATCGAGACTAAATCAATAATGCGTACTCTCGTTGGCTCCTTTTCCAATTTATTAATCCTAGGATGTTAATACGCTTTCTCTTTTGCCTTTTTTCCAACAGAATTATACTTGTTATTTCATTCTTTGATATCGATGATTTTTGTTGTTAACACTGCTTCTTTTCCAAACAATAATCTCCTGGGTCACTCTATTAATTGATTTGCACTCTCGATAGCAATCTTGATTAACGCACGATAATAGCGTTTAGTTGTGTTCGTTTTAGAATGCAAACGTCTCTTTTGGTTAATGCGATAATTAAATACTGGTGTTACGTTCCCTGATTAAATAATTTGTTCTTTTACTTGTCTCTTTGGTTCGTTGATAAAGAAGCTTTTACATTTACCGATAAAAATGTGTTCTTTTTATAAAGATGCGGACGGTCTAGACGATCAGTCCTTTCTCTTTCGCAATGTTTTCGTAATTCTCTCTTTTCTTTCTCTCCCTCCCCTCCCACCTCTCTCTCTCTCTCTCTCTCTCTCTCTCTCTCTCTCTCACGTCGAAAATGAACGAAAAATAAAACACGTTGGAGGCACTGAACTGGCAGCAACCGTCGATATACTTGACCCGCCAAACCGATATGCCGTACGTAAAAGATTTCTCCTCGATTAGAATCAAACGAACGCTCGATTAGTACGGGCAATGGGAGGAGAGGAGGGTATACGCAGTTTAAGTTTCACTTTGTCTTTCTTTTCGTCTAATTATCTAAAACGACGAATAAACGTTATAAGACAAATTCGAAGCTTCAATCACGCACTCGAACTTTTAACATTTTCTTTTTTTTTTTTTTTCTTTTCTTCTTTTCTAACCTGTGCCTTGCTAATCACGGCTACGAAATATATGTATATTGAAAATACACGTAGGTACGTTTTTTTTTTTATTTCACAACGACTTTCCTCTTTTTACAGAAGAGATCGCCATTATTCTCTGCTTTCTTGTTTCTTTTTTTTTTGTTTTTTTTCTTTTTTGTTTTTTTGTTCTTTTTTTTTTTTGATACACCATCAAACGAAACGATATTCTTATTGATAATATTTGTGTACGTGTAATTTGCTCAAAAGGCGCAACAACGAAGACGCATTCACTAGTGGAAGGTTTTTTTCGGTTACCTTCGTGCAACAAAGGGTTTTTCTAAACTATCGATATATTGCTAGTATTGTTATTACTTCGTTTAAAGGTATGAGAATAATAATGAAGAGGAATTTCATATCGAGGATATTATCGTTACTGCTCGCAATACTACATGATAATCGAACGGTAATATTCTGAGGAAACGACTCTTTCCAATAATAATTTTGGATGCTTCTTATACAATAATTAGTCAGCTCTTTCAAACGCAATACGAATAAATTACTCGGAAGTATATCGATAATTTTTTCTCTTTGATAAATATTTCTTAAAAACGATTCCATCAAATATCGCATCTTCTCGCATATCTGCGAGAGATAAGAAATAGTATAAAAATATGAAACCATAATGGTATTAGACAATACGTGTAAAATGTAATAAGGTTTATAGAATAGACGAGTTACGTACAAAGGTTATAAAGGAAGTGATTGAAAAAAATCGTTACGTTTAACTAAATACTATCAATTGCGATCATAGGAATGTGCTATAGAGTCTAGCTCTTTGCGAACGAACAGGAAACTATTTTCAAAGTAATCGTTTCTACATTTTTCAGTCGAGAGAAATTCGCCTAATACGATACTAGTCCCTCTACGTTTGTTTTCCTTCTTTTTCTGCATACCAGTACAGACGTCTCTCCTAATTTTCTATGTTATCATCTACTCGCTTGCGTTCGCACCCCTGAGGTATT